CGGCGTCCCCTCGCAGCGCCCCGCCCCCCGCGCCGCGGAGCCAATCACAGCCCGCCACTGTCGCACCGCCCTGCCCTTTTCCGGCTTCTATCTGGGCAGACCCCGCTCCCCGGCGCGGTGACCAATGGCGGAGCGAGAGGCGGAGATGGGCGGGCATCGCGACCAATAGAAGGGCGGAGGGGGCGGGCGCGCGGGCCGGCCCGGGCCGGGTGGGAGCGGCGCCGCCATTTTGGCGCTCGGGAGCGGCGGCGGCGGCGCCGCGCGGGCAGGTCCGGGCGGCCCGGTGGGGCGGGGCCGAACGGGAGGGGCGGGGAGGACCGGGGGGGGCGGGATTACCGGGAGGGGCAGGCACGGCCGGGGAGAGGCAGGAATGACCGGCAGGGCCGGGATTACCGGGAGGGGCGGGGCTGACCGGGAGGGGCGTGTCTTACCGGAGGGGGCGGGGTTGACCGGCAAGGCCGGGATTACCGGGAGGGGTGGGGCTGACCGGGGCCCCCCGCTCTGATGGGGAGGGGGTGGGGCCCAGGGCTGAGCGCGCCTTGTATGCTAATGACGGGGCGGGGCATCACAGGGGCTCCTTCCCCCCCTCTTCTGCTGTGCAGGTTCCAGTGAGTCCCAGTTCATCCCATTTCCCTCGCAGTCACCCCCTGGACTCTTCCCAGTTTGTCACAGAACGCTCTGTTCTCAGTCCGTTCCAGTACGTCACCGGTTCATTCAGATCCTTTCCAGTTAAACCCAGGCTCTGCCAGTGACCACCCCCAGCGGTCCCAGCTTTCCGTTCCCAGTCCCTCCCAGTCTGACCAGTTGCCGCCCCCACAGGTGTCGGTGCCATGGAGTACGAGCGCAGGTAGGGGGGCCCCAGGGGACCCCAAACCCGAGGACCTGGGGGGGAACATTTGGGGAGCTCTCGGGGGACACTTGTGGACTCTCCAGGGAGGAAAATGTGATATTTTGGAGACCCCGTAGGGAGCAAAGTGACATTGGGGACTTTGGGTGACAGGGGACATTTGGGGACCCCACAGGGGACACATATGGGGACATTTGGCCACCTCTGGGGGGTGTTTGGCAACCCCCAACAAGGGGTTATTTCACTGAGCACCACCAAGGGGCCATTTGGGTTCCTGGGGGGGAGATGTGGGGACCGTCAAGGGAGGGATCACTGGGGACCCTCGAGGCCGGAGAAGACCTCGGTACCCTCTGACCCCTCTCCTCTCCCCAGGGGTGGCCGTGGGGACCGGACGGGGCGTTACGGGGGGGCCCCGCCCCCCCCCGAGGACGGATCCCGCACCCAGAGGGACCACGACTATCGTGACATGGATTATCGGGGCTATGGGGGACCCCCGGAGGGGCCCCCCGCCCCCGGGACCCCCCCGCAGGTGAGCGTCAACCCCTGAGGGGGTGTTGGGTCACCCTGCGACGGGTGCTGAGACCCCCCCGACACCCCCCTCTCCCACAGGCGTCCTACGAGGCCGCGGAGCCCCCCCGGAAGCGGGACCTGCCCCGGGACCCCCCCGTGGCTCCCACGCTGCCCTTCGGCGCCGACAGCGACTACCGGGACCAGGATTACCGGGAGGGCCCCGAGGAGGAGCCCCGGGCCAGCACCATCGTCATGCTCAGGATGCTGCCCCAGGCGGCCACCGAGAACGACGTGAGCCCCCAGCCCCCACCATGGCACTGCCCCGCCCCCCAAACAGCCCCGCCCACGGCCCAGGATGGCCCCGCCCCCACCCAGCGTGGCCCCGCCCCATACCCGGTTGGCCCCACCCTTTGCCATAGGGGATTCTGCCCTGTATATGGGATGGCTCCACCCCCTGCCAGGGATGGCCCCACCCCACTGAGCCCCACTCTCGTTCAGAGTGGCCCTGCTCCTTTCTTAATAGCCCTGCCCTGTGTATCAGGGGGTTTTCCCCCCTTTCTGCTGAGCCCCACCTGTGTTCTGACTGGCCCCGCCCCCTGCCCACTGAGCCCCACCCCAATCCAGCCTGGCCCCGCCCTCTGAGCCCCGCCCTTGTGAGGACAATGTCCCTTCAAATCCCACCAGGGCTCTGCTCCAGCGGCTCCTGAGTGTCCATGGGGGTCCTGGGAAGGGTTGGCCAAGCCCCTCTCCTTGGCTCTACCCCTGAATTCAGTTCCACCCCAGGAAGCCACACCCCCTTTCTCTTAGGCCACACCCCCACAGCACCCACAGTTCACGGTGGGGACATCGGGGACCCCCCTGGAGACACGCCGGGGTCTCTTGGGTGGGACCTGGGCAGGTGTTGGGGTGTTTGGAGTCCCCCCCGTGTTCCCCCTGATGTGGTGCTGTCCCCGTGTCCCCCCGTGTCCCCCCCGTGTCCCCCCAGATCCGTGCTCAGCTCCAGGCCCAGGGGGTGCAGCCTCGCGAGGTGCGGCTGATGCGCAACAAGTCCTCAGGTGAGTCTCACCTGGGCTCGTCCTGCACATCTGGGCCCTGCTCTGGGGGAGGGGTGGGCACCTGGATCCCCTTTAGGGTGTGGGTGGGGGGCACCCAGACACTTGGATCCCTCGGAGGGGGTTGGGTTCGTGCCCTGCCCGTGCTGGGGGGCACCCAGGGGTGCTGGTCGCGTCCTCAGAGGCCCCCAGGGATGTTTGTCCCATTTTCAGGAGCGCTCAGGAGTTCTGTTCCTGCTCCCCAGATGTGCTCTTGCCAGGCTTAGGGGACACCCGGGGTGCCAGGCTTGTTTCTAGGGACACCCAGGGGTGTGGCACCAGGCTCAGGGGGTATCAGAGCTGCTGATCCTGTCCCCAGGGGCACCCAGGGGTGCTGATCCCATCCCCAGGGGCACCCAGGGGTGCCTGTCCCCTCTCTAGGAGCACCCAGGGGTGCTGGTCCTGTTTCCCAGGGGCACCCAGGGGTGCTTTTGCCAGCCTTAGGGGGCACCCAGGGGTGCCAGTCCCATCCTCAGGGGCACCCAGAGGTGCCTGTCCCTTTCAAGGAGCACCCAGGGGTGCTGTGCCATACTTAGGGGGCACCCAGGGGTGCCCATCCTCTCCCTGGTGGCACCCGGGGGTGCCAGTCCTGTTCCCCAGGGGCACCCAGGGGTGCCAGTCTCATCTCTAGGAGCACCCAGGGGTGCTGATCTGGACTTGGGGGACACCCAGGGGTGCCCACCACGTCCCCAGGGGCACCCAGGGGTGCTAATCTTATCCCTAGGGAGCACCCAGGGGTGCTGTGCTGGAATTGAGGGGCACCCAGGGGTGCCCCTCTTGTCTCTAGGAGCACCCAGGGGTGCTCGTCCCCTTCCTCAGGGGCACTCAGGGGTGCCAGTCCCTTCTTCAGGAGCACCCAGGGGTGCTGGTCCCACGTCTAGGGGCACCCAGGGGTGCTGCACCAGATTTGAGGGGCACCCAGGGGTGCCCATCACTTCCCCAGGGGCACCCAGGGGTGCCATCTCCTCACCCAAGGGGCACCCAGGGGTGCTGGAGCCCTTCCAGGAGCACCCAGGGGTGCTGTGCCACACAGAGGGGGCACCCAGGGGTGCCAACCCCAAAGCTGGGGGCACCCAGGGGTGCCTATCTTCAGTCCTAGGGGCACCCAGGGGTGCCAGACCCTTCCCCAGGGGCACTCAGGGATGCTGAGCCCTTCCCAGGGGGCACCCAGGGGTGCCCAGTCTCTTGAGGGGGCTCAGAGGGGTCGGTAGGAGGGGTCCCGGGGGGGGTTCCAGGATCACCCAAACCCAACCCAAGGGATTCCAGGGGTGCCCATCCCCGCCCCGTGGGGTCCCCGGGAGCACCCAGGGGGGGCCCTTCCCCACCCGGGGGGTCCCTGGGTGCCCCCCCAACCCCCCGCCCGTTCCAGGTCAGAGCCGCGGCTTCGCCTTCGTCGAGTTCCACCACGTGCAGGAGGCGGCGAGATGGATGGAGGCCAACCAGGTGGGGGAGGGGCTTGAGGGGGCGGGCGAGGGGCTTGAGGGGCGTGCCCGGGCCTCGTGGGGGGGGTACTGGTGTTACTGGTCTGTGCTGGTGTCCCGGGTGTCAGGGGGCACGTTCGCTTCCTTGTGACCGTGTGAACATTGTGTGATACCCTGGGGTGCCCCTGTGGGGGATCTGAGCCCCCGAGTGACGCCCTGGGGTGCCCCTGTGTGGGATCTGAACCCGTGGGTGGTGCCCTGGGGTGCTTCTGTGTGGGATCTGTGCCCCCAGTGACGCCCTGGGGTGCCCCTGTGTGGGATCTGAGTCCCTGAGTGACACCCTG